CAGCAGTAGCAGAAGCAGCAGCAGTATCAGCATGACAAAACGACACAACTTCTTCCCAGTCTTCCTTTCCAGAATACTACTTGCAACTTTCATCACTGTTCCCCTGAGCTGGAGCGAGAACATGGGGATGCTGATGCTTTTGCATTACAACGCTGCATGCTGGAAACACAATCCTTTAGCCAGGAGCTGCAGCTGCCCGCAGTTGCTATGCCTTGGCCCTCGTGTGCTGTGGCATGAAAGGAGGGGGTTTACCGCGCAGTTGTAGGGTCGCAAGGTCTGGGGCCTGTGGCCAGGGCCCTGTAGCTGAAGGAGGCTGATCTCGTGTGATTAGGTGCACCTTTGCCTTGAGCACCGAGAACAGCCGCTGAAGGCAGGGGGAACAGTTCCTGCATCGCTCTAAGGCTCTAAGAGCTACCTGTGGCCCAAAAGACCTACCTNNTATATATAGAAACCATAATAGGAACCCCGAAAAGGTAGGTCTTTCCGGCTACAGGTAAGACTTGAGAGGCTTTCCAAAGACGGAGGGATGGCGAGTCGGAGCAGGTCTCCTGGCCAGCCACCCTCCCAGAGATTGCATGAAGCTCGTTTCCAGATGCTGGAATTCGTCTTAAACCCCGGGGGGCCTGCTGAGCATTCAGGCAGATACGAAGAGGTGGTCTTCTTGTGCGAGCTATGCGGCTGCCTGGCGCCAGCTCAATTTCATGGAGGCCCGATGCTTCCTTGCATGGCAGTGCAGGCTGCCTGGGATCTCAAGTTTGGTAATGTAAGGCGCCTTAATAATTAGAGTAGGGCTTTGGGGTATATGATACCATAACTATAATAAGGAACGCTCTGGGACTTGGGCTCTTGGAGCTTCCGACCTTTTGGCTGCAGTGCATCGTCTTCTGTGAGTGCTGCCACCTCAAGAGCAATGCAATCGACGTGTAGTCGGAGCAGTGACAGTGCGAAAAAAAAACACGCAAACTAGTCGTTGTTTCTGTGAGCACGACGAAGCGGAATACTTGGTTCCAGACCTCCAGCCCTTTGTGTTCTACCATTGAAACGTTCATCGCGGGCCAGTGCCCTTCTTCGCGCCTCATGTCTGTGGAGGTGCAATCGCTTGCCTTGAATGCCCTTACGAAGCGTATTCAAGATGAAGCAGAGGTGTTGCCGGATGGCATCTTACGGGTCGCGGATTTCCTGAATTACAGGGTGGACCCTGTCCTAATGGACAGCTGTGGAGCGCTCCTCGCAAATCGGTTGATGGATGCAAAGCCGACCAAGATCCTAGCTGGCTGCAGTAGCCAAGGGCTCCTGCCAGCGGTGGCAGCATCAAGGCATTTGGAAATGCCCGTAGTCTTCGCTTATCCCTCCGTCCCAGACACTTGGAATGGCGATGCCACCTTTTCCGCAACTCTCCAGGGCCGCACGCACTGGGTACTTTCGAGTGCCATTTGTGCAGAGGACCGGGTGGTGATAATAGATGATGTCGTCAGCACAGGCACGACAGTCAGTGCTCTGAAAACCATCTGCGAGAAGGCTGGTGCCAAAGTTGTCGGGGTCGGTGCGATCATCCACAACTGCCTGGCTAATGGCGGGGGCAGTCCCATTGAAGGAAAGTTCGAGAGCCTGGCACAGGTTTCCAAGTCTAGTGCAGGAGGCCCTGTGGATGTAAAGCCTTGCATTGCCCCGGCGGTCCAGCAGCAACAGCTGCCAGAGGTTGTTGCGGCAGATGTTCTGACGGAGCGAGTGATGCGAGAGGGAAAGGTGCTGCCAGGAAACCTGCTCAAGGTCTACTCCTTTGTGAACCATCAAGTTGACACGCGCTTGATGGACATGTGTGGCCAACTGCTAGCGCGGGTTTTTGCAGGTTTTGGGGTGCAAAAGGTGCTCACGGCCCAAACCGGAGGTCTCCCTCCGGCACATGCCGTAGCAACGGCCTTGCGTGTGCCGCTGGTCTGTGCCCGGGAGACTCATGAGAAGGATGAGGTGGTCATGCAGACTATGTACAGCGCCCCTTCGGAAAGCTTCACCAAGAAGAAGAAGCTGGTACTTTATGTTACTAAAGAAGCGTTGCTCCCCGGCGAGGTGGTTTTGGTTGTCGATGATTTTCTGGCCACGGGCACCACTGGCGTAGCGCTGCATCGACTGGTCGAGCAGGCAAAGGCTGAAGTAACAGGGATGGCTTTCCTGGTCGAAAAACGATTCCAAGATGGTCGTGGAAAGATTCTGCGGGAGCTGCCCCACTTGAACGGCCGGATCGTATCACTTGCATGCATCGAAGCGATGTCCACAGAGGGAATTTCGTTGGACTGCAAGGTGGTCGGTGACTGCAAACCCATCCAACCTGCAGACGGGAAGGTGATGATCAACCGAGTCCTGTCATCTGCCCAAGCGCATCAGGGACGAGGCATGATCAATGCGTCTACATTCCTGAACCACGTTGCACCTCGGCTTGTGTCGTTTTGCGATTTGCACATCTAGATACATGCCAGACGGTTTTGCAGGCAAAGGTAAGCTATTGACAGGTGGACACCAGGCTCATGGATCAGGCTGCTACGCTGCTGGCAAAGCGCTTCGTAGACTCACGGGCAACGGCTGTTCTGACAGCTGAAATGTCCGGTGTTGCACCAGCCTTGGCTTTGGCAATGCAACTTCGCGTGCCCTTGATCTGTGACTCTTGACTGCATTGACTGCATCTTGCTACATATAAGAGACTTCCCGATATGTACATGGCTCGTGAATTTCAGGCACGCAGGGAGCTGAGCAAGGTTATGGCTGTTGCGGGTGGCACAATCTCCGCAAAAGTCGAGGGCAGCACTGATCCGGCGCGAGGAACTCTTCACATCTTTCGCGAGCCTTGGCGTTCGATCTTGCATGCCAGGCCGCTGGCTTCTGTATTTGTTGAAGAAGTTGTTGGATGCTGCATGCCTCTTCTACTGGACCTAGGACCACCTGCGAAAGGACGACGCCGTGCTGCTAATTGACGACATTTTGGGAAACGGAGCCACGACCATGGCACTGCAGAACCTCTGTGACCAGGAGCGAAGCACATACATGTGCGTAAGCACAATCATGGCAAGCACACACCGGGGTCGATTCGCGAGGTTGGCGCCACGGTTGTTGGTGCAGGCTTTCTCGTGGAGAAGGCTTGGAAGCAGACTAGAACTGTGTTTATCTGCGTTTCCATCAAATCAAGGGGCCCTCCCTGAAGGTTTTCCAGCACGGCCGGGGCAAAATTTTAGCTGCGCGACCGCACATGGCTGCGCCTCATCAGCAGAGAGTTCCGGCCAGAAGACGAAGGCTCCGTCGGAGGCGTTCCTGACAGTGCACTCAGGACAGCATCGTGGCCCTCACGAAAGTCTTATCGATGAATGATCAAGGCATGAGTCATGAGAGACGAGCACGAGCGTGACCAGCGCTTAGAAATGCCGCATCTCTCTCACGCTCCCGCGCAGGGCTGAAAGTCTTCCGCTGCCCTGAGCCTGCGCGAGACACCTGGGTGCGAGTGGCTACTGATCTCGTCCGGAGAATGAGCAAGGAAGTTGAGATCGACGTGGCAGCAAATGCCATGAAGTTCAGGTCAGCACTCCACTCAGTTGCTTTTTTGCGCCAAAAACTGTGGCCAGGCCAGTTGCGCTGTCTCCTTATTGTGGTTCGATCTGGGCCTAGGTGTTGGGTCAGCATATGAGCATGGACCCAGTTCTGCTCGATGCTTGTGGTGACGTGCTGGCGGCGCAGTTTGCCGGAGTCACCAAGGTCCTGACAGGTGGCTTGTCAGAAATCCCGAGCTGAGTGAGCCCTTGTTCCTTGTGCAACGTGAAGCTAACTCCTCGGTAGTATTAGGGAGACCCTTATAAAGTGAACCTGTATCCGCAAGGGTCCCCCTAATCCTAACTCCTAAGCTAACAAGGAGCTCCGGTGCAGGGCCTGTCGGTGGCGTACGTAGTGGCCAGGCATTCCGAAGTGCCGATGATCTTCGCCCGCTTCTGGGCTCAGTTCAGAATGCCCGAATGCCTCAAGATATAGTCTTCATATGTATTTATGCTCTTAGGACTTTTTTCTGCTCTTAATAACATTTCTGTACATTTCTGTTTTTAGTCGTTCATGGAGTGGCTGCCGCAGCGAGGCAACACTGTACCGCTGACCATGAAGGGCCAGCGGATTTTGAGCGCCCAAGCTCCTACAGGCGGGGCTCCGAATCGGGTTTAGGGTTTAGGGTTTAGGGTTTAGGGGTTTAGGGTTTAGGGGTTTAGGGTTTAGGGTTTAGGGGTTTAGGGTTTAGGGGTTTAGGGTTTAGGGTTTAGGGGTTTGAATCAAAAGTTCGATGGAAGTTTTAGTGTGGCGCTGGCATGTCAAGTTAGAGCAGCCGAGGCACGTTTAATGTCTCCGGCGAGTTCTTCGGCCCAAGCGATCGAGTTCTTATAGCGGACGACTTCTTGGCTTCAGGCAGTTCATAGGGGCTCTTGAGCGGCTCTGGTGTAACTTGTTTGGGTTAGAGATCGAGAGGCTCGACGGAGCCTTGTGCTTGCATCACCTTGAACCTTTGACGCGTGGGAAGCCTGCCGGTAGCAGGGCAGACGGCGCTGGCGCTGAAGCAGATTTGTGCAGCGCTCAGTCCGGTGCAGAAGAAGCTTCTGGCCTTGCAGCAATGGGGTTCCAAGAAAAAGGTGAGGAAGCCGGTGCGTCGATTGCGGGCTACGCCTTCTTGGCCTTGAATCGCACGCAACTCGTGGGCCAGAGGCCGGCATCCGTAGCCGTCAACTCTTCAGGCGGGGCGATCTGTTGGGGACTCGTCGCTCTTCGGTACATGCCACGGCATGTCGCACCAACTTGCAGGCCGCGAGGCTCTGGGCGCCAAGGCTTGTGCGTTTGTTGGGGGAGTTTCACTCATGCTTTAATGCACACAGAGGTGGTGGTCCTTGCCGATGTGGTCGGCATTGCCGCTGGTCGTTGTGAGGTTAAGGTCGCAGAATGGCTGCAGCGAGTGTCTGTAGCCTGAATTCAGCAGCCACGGCGCCGTAGCCTGGAGGTGGTAGTGCTTTTGATTTGGACAGCTCGGTGCTGCATTGTTAACCCAATTCTGGTGGCGAGGCCGGAAGCATGTAGAGCTGAGATCTCTTGTATGCACGGCTTCCAGTCTCGCCCTCTCTGAAACTTAGTCCATTTAAGAGACAGGTTTTAGACATATCTGTCAGGCACTTGCCGCAGCTTGCTGTCTCAGGTCGTGCTACCTTTGCAGATGTTGGAAGTAGCGGCGCAAATAGGCTGCTCAAGCACTTGTACACTGTTCTTGACTTCGACTGGGACAGACAGCTGTAGTGTTTTGTGAACCCCGCGGCGTTGGATTTCAACTTCTGGCTGGCGTGCCGCATGATAGCCTGCTGTTTCATCGGCAGTGCTTCATCTAGATGCTGCACTCCTGCATTTCTTGGAGCTGCGGACGTTTTGTGCTGCCTGAGCAGAAACATACATGCACACATGAAAGCGTGGCCGGGTATGCCCTTGGCTTTGTAACCCGCATTCCTGGGCAGGCTGCCAGCACTTCTGTGGCTGAGAGTGATGGCCGCCTTCTAGACGGTGTTGCTGTGCGGTTCTTCGAGGGGTGCTGCTGGCTTGGAGACCGTCACCGGCTTTGAATCGTTCTCAGCTCATGGATTGAACACTTCCGGGTGAAGCAGACATTGCTTGCCAGATCCACTTTGTCCGGTGCCTTCGATGTCCCAGTGGACTTGATCGAGGCAGGTGCAGCTTCGCTTCTGCAACCAAAGGGTAGGCCATCCTTTCGGAACACGAAGTGTCCCGACGCCCGGCCGAAACGCAAAAAGAGTGTAGCAGGCGCACCAACTCCGACTGAGACCTGACGATCTTCTTTGCCTCCTCCTCGGCGGTCGTACTTTTGTCTCGAGGTGCCATGGCCCAGCCTACGGATGCCTGTTGGGTTTTGAGAGGTCTACGTTGGCCGCGGCCTGCGGGGGCTCGACAGCGGCCTGTGCTCATCCAGGCCGAACTTGTAGCCCACGGTGGCGTCCACCCACGTCCCGTTCCTTAAGGGCCGTTCCAAGAGCCCGGAGGAAGCTTTCCGAGCTCTGACTTGCGGCCGCGAGCGGCTGGGGCAGAAGGAGCTCCGAAAGCTGGCGACCTTCACAGGTCTGGGTCGAATGCAGCCGTAGACGTCGTAGACTTTGGGGGAGGGGGGGGTGCTTGCTCTAGATGTCGAGGAGCCGAAGAGGTTTGAGTGTGTGTGCAATACTTGTAGAGATCACCCGCAACAGACAGTCGAGTCTGTCCGAGAGGCTTTGACGGGACTGATGAAGATTGGTCGGAGCCTGCAGCTTACACTCTGGGACGCTTGCATGAGAAGACTCCTTCATGCCTGTTCCTGTGTGCAGCTCTAGGGAATATGCCTCGCTCTGCACGGAGTTCGGAGTGACGGAGGCCCTGTCACTGGCTCATGCATGATCTGCCATTTGTCACTACATGCGAAATTCTGTGGACGGTGGAGGCTCGAGGTGGGATTTTGCAGGGGTGATTCGGGTTGAGGCAAGCTTCTTGTCCTTGGGCGGCTTCACCATCAGCGCATTTATCCTTTTCGAACACCGAAGCATATCGAGCAAGTCTTTGGCACGGATTTTGCAGAAAGCTGCTCCACGCCGTCACAGCAGCCCAAAAAAGAAGGGCGGGGCTGGACACACCGTGCCAAGAGAATCAGGGCAGCAAGGGAGCGTGGTTCAGCTTCTTTGTGGATCCCGGTCGTTACATTCGGCACTAGGCTCAGAACCCTAAACCCTAAGCCCTAAGCCCTAAACCCTAAACCCTAAACCCTAAACCCTAAGCCCTAAACCCTAAACCCTTAACCCTTAACCCTAAAGGCACTAGGCTCAGTCAGCAGAAGTTTAAGGTTTTGCCGACAGGAAGAAGGGCTCGGCCTGCCGGATTTCTCCAAGCTCGTTGACGACGAATCGGAGAAGGCCGGGTTTAGGGTTTAGGGTTTAGTAGAACGGCAAAGAAACTTCATGGAGGGGAGACCAAAGCCTCATCCTTTCGGAATATGTTTGAGACCTCCGGCAGCATACCATAAAGATAAAAACCATGTGAGGCTCTGGCCATCGGTTTTTTTTTCAGCCTTCTTTGTCCCAGTTGGGCAGGGCTGCGTCTGTTCTGACGATGAGCTCCGGGAGCTGAAGCAGCTTTATGGGGGCCCGGCTCCGGACAGTCAAGGCCCGGGGGGGGGGGGGGGGGGG